GAATTTTTGCGTGCCCCCCCCGCCCCCCCCCCGAATTTAAGGACAAAGCTCTTGCTGAATGCTATGGAGCCAGGACTTTTACCAGATTCCAAGTTCCAGGGTGAAATAGTGGCCCGAGAAAAGGGGAGGGCTGCCAGCCCTGGGGGTGGGTGGGAAGCTTACGTCCACTCCTTCCCCCTCTGCCCCAGTGGGGTTATAACTGTCCTGGTCCCTATTTCTAACCCCTTGCTGCCCCCTGTGGTCATTACCCTCCTTTTCATGCTATGGAGCCAGGACTTTTACCAGATTCCAAGTTCCAGGGTGAAATAGTGGCCCGAGAAAAGGGGAGGGCTGCCAGCCCTGGGGGTGGGTGGGAAGCTTACGTCCACTCCTTCCCCCTCTGCCCCAGTGGGGTTATAACTGTCCTGGTCCCTATTTCTAACCCCTTGCTGCCCCCTGTGGTCATTACCCTCCTTTTCCTTGTTATGGAACACAGTCGCTTTCCAGGCACATCCCATTGTCCTGGCACAACCAAACCCCGACTTTGCTTTAAGTTGTGATCAAGGGAAGCTGCCTACCGAATTTGGTGGGCCTACCTGTTACCATTTAGGAGGAGTTCCTGAACAAACAGACTCGCTCAAATCTGTAGTAGACCAAGACAAGAAAAAATGTTTCACCAAAACCCTTCTTTGTAGGAGAACATTTTGATGAGCCCTAATGGTCAAAGATCTTCTGAGGTAAAACTTGAGCAAGGAGGGGTAAGTGCATATAAGAGGCATATGACCCTCAGGTAAATAGACAGTTGGCTGATGCTTTCTCATGTGTTCAGCTGCCGTGCTTTTGTGCTTCTTCCCGACGTTCTCTCCCCCTTCCTGTGCCCTCTCCCGTTCTCACATTGCACTTTCTATTCTTGCGCTCCCTGGCTGTGCTAAGCGAGCTGGCGGCCAAGTGAAAGCCACGAGGATCTTGGCATATCCATGCCTCAAAATGGGATTGTAATAACCCTCCCTTGGCAGCTGCCACATAACATAACTGGCTGGAGCAGAGCGTCCGGCAGGAGCAGCATAGATAGGCTTTTGCTCATTAAAGGAAGCCTTTGATAGGGAGTCACCAGCACTCATTAGCAAAACAACAATCCTTTCCCCACTCGCCTAAGCTGGGGGTGAAGGGAAACTTGGTTTGTCCAAATCTAAGGACACTACAGTGGCTCATAAGCCTCCCACTAGCTATGACTTGTCTTCATTGCAGAGGGAACTCTAGTTTCATCTGTCACCGTTCCGAGCAACAGCATCTGTATTTCCTCTCCAGGGTCCAGAAAGGACACCCACACGCTAGCACCCAGATCCCCAGCTGTCCCTTCTCTCAGGTGGAGACCTACATCTCTCTCTCTCTCTCTCTCTCTGCACAGATCCTTTGTCAGCACTGGGGATACGTGTAGACTGCAAGCTTTTTTCGAAAGAGAGCGTCCACACCTCAAAACTGGATCGAAAAAGCGATCTGCTTTTTCGAAAGAGCGTCCAGACTGCACGGACGCTCTCTCGAAAGAAAGCCCTGATTGCGATTCACAGAATGCTGCCAGGGCACTTGTGCTTTGTTCGAATGCCTCTTCTTTCGAAAAATGTCCCTCTTCTGCGTCCACGCATGCCGTTTTTTGAAAGAGCTCTTTTGAAAAAGGCGTTCTTCCTTGTAATTTGAGGTTTACCAATATAAAAAAAAACCCTGCATTCTTTTGATTTTAATTGTGAAAGAACGTGATTGCAGAGTGGACGCAGGTGAAGTTTTATCGAAAAAAGGGCAGGTGTTTTGAAAAAAACAATGTGGTCTAGACATACCCTGAGTTCCCCAGAGAAGTCAGGTTGCTTAAACAGGCCTGTTGTGGTGGTCTCCTCAGAGGTTGTAAACTGTGTATTTGCTGGAGTTATAAACTTACCACCCGGTTCTAAGCAAGCACCTTTTATTCTTAAGGTGAAAGCATTGGAGAGAACACATTAAAATGACAAAGAAGCCACACAAATGCTAATAGGCTTACCAGAGACCACTAGCACCAACAAGGGCTGTGGCCTGTGAACCACAAAGTGTTGTTTGTTTGGTTTTTTTGGGGGTCCCCTGTTCATAACAGCTGTTAGCTCCAAATAAGCACACCCATCAATCTGTGAGTCCCTCCCTTAATCTAGTTTGGATCTCTGATCTTGTCCTCATAACCTGATGTGCAGACAAAGTGTTTCTTCGCACAGCTTCAAAGGATAAGTCTGTACTTAGGTAATTTGCATTCTCCTTCCTTTGGAAATTTCCTAGGAGAGTCACTGAACTGTTCAGTTTTGTCTGGCGTGTTTTAAGAGTCCTTTGAAGCCAGTAACACTTCCCAGGGTTTACCTTAGTCTTGTCTCTTGTGAAATAAATTACATACAGTCCCTCCAGTAAAATATAAACAGTTACATTTTTTAAAACAATGAACTCATGTGAAACTTAATTCTTCACGGTTTATCCAGGATATTCCTCCCTCCACCTACACCCCCCCCCCCCACACACACACCCTTTAATTCAAGTATTGTGCAGCCCTGCAAGTCAGCAGCTATCTGATACATATCCAGGGTTTGGTTTTTTTTGGGGGGGGGAGGAGGGGAGATGCAAAATTCTGTATCCATGCAGGGCACTGGGGACTGGTGAACACTTGACAAACTGTGCTCACTCAGCTGCCTGTCCAACTACTCAGCAGTTTGAGTGGTGTTTCACAGCAAGGCTGCTCTCACTGGTGGTGTTAACTATAAAGTTGTTAGTTGAGTGACGATAAGTTTAAACCCTTCTCCCAGCCCTCCCCCATCGCCGGACCTGCATAGATAAAACTAAGTTTGGTTGCTTGGAGATCATTGCCTGGTTACTCTTGTGGGTGTAATGAGCATTGCCCAATCAAGATGTTTCCAGTTCAGCATTTAGTCTTTGGCAAGCTAATGTCTGGCAAGCTAATCCAGACTTTTAAAATGAAGGCCTCACACACTGTTTCTGTGTTTGCTGTGTTCCCTTCAAGACACATGCAATCTGGCTATTGTTAAACGAAAAAACTGGGATTTCCATTTTCCAGGAAATTCTAGTATTTCAACATTTGTTTTCCCATCCAGTTTGGGGTTGACTGTTGAATGGAAAAAAACTTTATTTCCATGAGACTTTCTGAATCAAAACATTTGGGTAATTGTAACAGGGTGGAACTCACCACATCGGTGCCTCCTACTGGTCGTGCTGGGAATTAGCTCTCAGACCACTAAGGCACCTTCTACAGCCTCTCTCCAACTTACAAACCGGCTACGGACCAAGCAGTTGGTTGTAACTTGGTTCGTTCGTAAGTCGGACTCCATTGAGTTACATGCGACCGCCCAGTTCGTAAGCGCGGATCACATTCGTAACTCGGGGTCTGCCATTTATGGTCGCTTTGGTCGTCATAACTGTGAACGGTTGTAAGTCAACCGTTCGCAACTCGGGGACCGGCTGTACTAGCAGCCAACTGCAGTCCCTAGCCTAGCCTGAATAGGATGAAGTTTAATAAGGACAAATGCAAAGTACTCCATGTAAGAAGGAACAATCAGTTTCACACATACATAATGGGAAGTGACTGCCTAGAAGGGAACTAGGGGTCATAGTGGACCACAAGTTAAACGCAGGTCAGCAGTGTGACGCTGTTGCAAAAAAAGCAAACCTGATTCTGGGCTGCATGAACAGGAGTGTTGTGAGCAAGACATGAGAAGTCATTCTTCCGCTCTACTCTGCACTGATTAGGCTTCAGTTGGAGTATTGTGTCCAGTTCTGGGCAGCACGTTTCAGGAAAGATTTGGAGAAGGTCCAGAAAAGAGTAACAAAAATGATTTAAGGTCTAGAGAATTACTAGGGTGGTAATGTAGGCAACCAGAGTTGCAAATGAAGCCTGGGATTTGAATTTCCTGGGCTTCATTTGCATATTGCCGGGCTCCACCATTTTTAAATGTCCGCTAGTTCGGTCTCCGTGCCCGCGGCTATACGCGGCACGAACTAGGTAGTTCAGATTAGGCTTCCTATTCCGAACTATTGGAACGTGGAACGAGGTGTACCGGTAGTTCGGAATAGAGAGCTAATCTGAACTACCTACTCTGTGCCACGTGTAGCCGCGGGCACGGAGTCCGCGCTAACGGGCATTTAAAAATGGCGGCGCCCGGCAAGATACAAATGAAGCCCGGGAAATTCAAATCCCGGGCTTCATTTGCAACTTCGGTTGCCTACATTAACCACCCTAGTTCAAACTAGGGTGGTAGTGCAGACATACCCAGAGAGGGGACATGATAGTGGTTTTCAAGTATCTGAAACCATGTTACAAGGAGAGAGGAAAAATTGTTCTGCTTGGCCTCTGAGGACAGGACAAGAAGCAATGGGTTTAAACTGCAGCAAGGGAGGTTTAGGTTGGACATTAGGAAAAAGTTCCTGCCTGTCAGGGTGGTGAAACACTGGAATAAATTGCCCAGAGAGGTTGTGGAATCCCCATCTCTGGAGATATTTAAGAAAAGGTTGGATAGACATCTGCCAGTGATGATCTAAACCAGGCCTACGGCCCATCTGTTTGTGGTTCGCGATGCAGTTTGGGTTTACGTGGGGCTCAACACGCAGCCGGCGAATGGGAGCCAAAACAAAAAAGTAGTCAATAGAATGCTCTTCCATTCATCTGCATTTTAGTAATTAAATTCCTGGACAGTTATTGCTCATTTCCATTTCAATTTTAATGGGGTAAATACTGCGTTTTATTAATATCGGCAGAAGTGACTGACATGGGGCCTGCGTGTTGTGTGCTCTTGCCTTAATCTTTGTATTCATGCCTGTCAGTGTGAAATAAACTCTTTGCATATATTTGCATATATATTTGCATGCCTAAGCAACCACACTTAAGTTGCGGCCCTCGGCATGTGCTGTGAGTATCGTGGCTGCCGGGGCTTCCACAGTTGAGTGACCCTGGTCTAGACAGCGCTGGGTCCTGCCGTGAGGGCAGGGGACTGGACTCGATGACTCTTGAGGTCCCTTCCAGTTCTAGTGTGCTTTGATTCTAGCTTTTGAATCCAGGGTCTAACTGCAATCTGGATTGGTCATCCTCATTGGCATGTAGGGGCAAAGGGGGGAGGTGGACCTAGGCCCACCCACTGCTCTGGGTCCTGGCCCAGGAACATTGCAGCTAGCAGCCAATTCAAGTATTGTGCAGCCCTGCAAGTCAGCAGCTATCTGATACATATCCAGGGTTTGGTTTTTTTTGGGGGGGGGAGGAGGGGAGATGCAAAATTCTGTATCCATGCAGGGCACTGGGGACTGGTGAACACTTGACAAACTGTGCTCACTCAGCTGCCTGTCCAACTACTCAGCAGTTTGAGTGGTGTTTCACAGCAAGGCTGCTCTCACTGGTGGTGTTAACTATAAAGTTGTTAGTTGAGTGACGATAAGTTTAAACCCTTCTCCCAGCCCTCCCCCATCGCCGGACCTGCATAGATAAAACTAAGTTTGGTTGCTTGGAGATCATTGCCTGGTTACTCTTGTGGGTGTAATGAGCATTGCCCAATCAAGATGTTTCCAGTTCAGCATTTAGTCTTTGGCAAGCTAATGTCTGGCAAGCTAATCCAGACTTTTAAAATGAAGGCCTCACACACTGTTTCTGTGTTTGCTGTGTTCCCTTCAAGACACATGCAATCTGGCTATTGTTAAACGAAAAAACTGGGATTTCCATTTTCCAGGAAATTCTAGTATTTCAACATTTGTT